ATCTCTGGAACTCCCTAGGAAACTATTCAGCAGTCGAACTGGCTGAAATTCTTCAATCACCAGCTTTATAACCAGGTACATGCAGCAGCCTGGATAGGCTGCTCGCTTTTTGGGGTAATCTGGCTTGTTTGGAGTAGGAAGATAACCACCCAAGAGGATCAGGAGGCTAAAAGCGGTTTCTAATTCATCAGCTGAAGTGTCACCGCTACTGACTTTCGACCTGGTTCCAGATTTTGCAACCGGAACTAGGATATTGACTTACTTGACTTATGGTCCTATGTCCCCTAGATGGGGCAGAGGGCGTCCACAACAGTCCTCCATCGCGCTCGGTCTTGAGCTAAGTGTTTGATCTCGCTCCAAGTCTTGCCGATCTTCTTCGCCTCGTCTGCCACAGTGCGCCGCCAAGTTTGCTTGGGGCGACCACGTTTGCGCTCTCCTTGGNGTTTTTGTAGTAATAAAGAATTTTTATAAAGAACATTCTATTTGCTTATTATTTGAGCTAGAAGAAAAACTTACGAACTTATGTACTATCACGAACTAGTAGCCGTTTACCTTACTGCATTAAAAAAATAATTTTCCTTTCTTGACAGGGCCAAATGCTGTACATCCCTGAAACTGATGTCGTGGTGTTCCAATGCTACCCCAGCGTGACCAACTTGGATGATCTAACACGGTACGTTGTCCACCATGATAAGATAGATTAAGTTACGAGTACATTTATTGATTATTAAGCGTAGAAACCTCACGTAATAGTGATAACGCCATCTTGCATTATCAATCAGTGTCTTAATTGCAATAGGGATGTTTCCTGGGTAAAAAAGCAAGAGTTTTAATTAGTCCGTCAGTTAGCTTATCAAAAACTACTCGTACACATACGACACGTATTTTTCACTTTTTAAAACTAATGAAAATGTAAAGAGATAAAGCGTGCCAAAGTTCTAAAGAAAAGGCCCGTGACGTCAGTGAGTGCGTAAAAGTGCAGCACTTTGTGACGTCGCGCGGAACTTCAATGCACTATAACTCAATACTCAATACTCAACTTTGTAATTATTTGTTTGATTTACAATTCAAAATATACGTGTCCAATATTTTTTATATTAAAATTGACGGACTAAAAAAATTTTTTTAGGAAACTAGCCTATTGATGTTGCATAGGCTCATGTTGTATACCAGCTACAAAGTGATATCAAGTGGAGTTGTGAACCCAGTTGTTTCAACTCATACTAGAAGAAGAAAGAGTAGAAAACGTGATCTAATAGGGCGATGCTACATTATGCTGTAGCCCGCGCCAGAAGAGACTAGCAGTAATACAATAAAATCGGCTCAAAGAGATACTAAACTTTCCTAACATAATGAACTACATACTTGCCTTTGCAAAGATCCTTACGACACCTAGGTGTCCTTCATCTAGTTTTAGCTATTTGAAAATGTTAAATGTAATTTTTACTAACGCGGACTGTACATAATAGATACGCTACTACAGGGATGGCGAACCTTTATATCTCAACGTGCCAGCGTTTTCAGAAAAAAATGTTTGATGTAGTCATAGACGTGCCATCAAATAACACCTAATGCTATCAATGAGGAGTATAGTACAAGTGGCGCCACTGGCGAGTGACAAGGCCTTACCACAGCCTTACTTTACAGTGGCACTAACGGACGACTTATTTACTATTTTATTTTATAGTGAATTTTGTGATTGGTGGCGTGCCCTCAATATTGTGGCGCGTGCCATTGGTTCGCCATCCCTGCGCTACTATATCCTGACGTAACATTTCTCTATCCAGCCGTGGACTCTGCATCTCCGACATTCCTCTCCACGATGCCACCCGCGACCTGGTGCTCATGTCGGAGCAGTTCGAGGCTGACTACAAGCTGACCCAGAACTTGGAGGTCCTGACTGATAAGTTGCAGCAAACCTTCAGGGAGCTGGACTCGGAGAAACAGAAGACGGACAGGTAATGAAGCAAAAAGCAAATCATATTCAGTGCTTAAGTCCTTTCCAAGGCACTTATACACGTCCCAAATATAGCTTGCCCTACCAACACTTCGGCTCAACATATTATGGGCAGGTGCTGTGAAGAAGTGGCGGCTACAAACTAAATGTGTATATGTTACGGCTAAAGATAGTTGTGAACATAAACTTAAGTTTAGCCGGCTAAACTTAAGTTTATCTTCGAGAAGCAGCTAAAGTTCGATAGCATGTTAGTTTGCGTCGTGATATTCCATCTTTAGCCGGCTAATGTGCACATTAGCCAAAACGAAACGGCTAAAAATGTATTCGAAGGGCGCGCCAGGCCGGCGGAGGGCTTGAGGTGGGGAGACAACGCGCGCGCAGTTTTATTTTGTAATTTTAAATACCTACAGAAGATTCAATTGTAATGACCAAATGGTATCTTATTATTTTATTTTAATGATTAGGTTTAGGTAGATATTGTTTTAAGTGATTAATATTTTGTTATTGTAATAATTGTAATTTTGAATACCTACATAGGTACATAAAAGTATGTGTAATGAAAGTGATTATTTTTTAATACAGTAAAGGTGGAATTCATTCATATTATGGCAGTACCGGTCTCGCCGTTTTCACGAAAATCATTCTAAAAAACACTACGGCAACAACCGTCGATTTTACATTAGAGTTTCATAGAGAGCAGACTTGTTGTTGCAAAATATTGTGAATAACAGTACGGGTATAGGTGTATAAAACATTTATGTGAAGATTGTTAGTGTCATATTGGACTGGAGCACAGCGTCGGAACGTGTTAATAAAGTTTTCGTGTCAAAATAGTAAACATTATTACATTGTTTCCTTTTCCATTTCCTTCTACATTCTTAGCCAAGGGCTTGCGGTTACACTTAAGTTTAGCCGGCTAAAGATAGAAGAAACTAACATTAACACCTCGTCGAAGATAAACTTAAGTTTAGCCGGCTAATCTTAAGTTTATGTTCACACCTATCTTTAGCCGTAACATATACATCCCACTGCTGATAACAGGTTTCACTCCTAATCCCCTAGTAGTGGATTAGCAAAAATGCTTTGTGACCTCACTAAGGCAGTGGAAAGTAACCAAAATTACAGTAAGGTCAGATCTGAATACGTCACGAAATATAGTCAGCTTGGTCATCATCAACCTCCGTAACTTAAATTGCATAATTATATTTAGTCATCACTACGAAAGTGCTGCCGCCGCTAAGTTGTAGGCACTAAGATAAAATTCAAATCACGCTGTGATATGACTCGAATTTTATGTATCACCAAGACTTTATTTGACAATAATCTTTAGGTAGTATTCGACTCATACCTGCTGAGTAGAGAAATGAGTCAGTGTAAGAAACTAACGATAAATGGCTAACTTTCTTCGGTTAACTATAACCTGTAATTTCCAGACTCCTCTACTCCGTGCTGCCCATAAGCGTAGCTACCGAGCTCCGCCACTGCCGACCAGTTCAAGCCCGTCGCTACGATCCAGTGACCCTACTCTTTAGTGGCATCGTCGGCTTCGCCAACTACTGCGCTCGGAACACCGACCATAAGGGCGCCATGAAGATCGTCAGGATGCTGAACGATCTGTATACTGCGTTTGATGTTCTGACCGATCCGAAGAGGAACCCTAATGTTTATAAGGTTCTTTATTGTAGCTTGGTATTAAAAGTTACATCACTAAGCTCTTTTAAAAGGTACCTAATAGAATCCTTAAAAGTGAGAGAATACAATAGAGTTTTAACTACAATGTCCTCAATATTTGCTCTAATAAAACACAGATCAAAATCAACATGAACAGAACCATAGACAGAAGCGAGTCGTATAGGTATTATATCGCAACCATCTGATAAAATTAGCTAGCTAGGTTGTTCATTAACCACCGGCATCCAACCAACTGCATTTTACCAGATGGCTGGTAAACATGTGAGGTCCAATATTTTCATAAACAAATCCACAAAGATCTTGCGCGTTGAAGGTTGCTTCTGAAATCTGCAGGAACTGTTTTCTATACTAATTAATTTGCAGGTGGAGACAGTTGGAGACAAGTACATGGCAGTGTCAGGACTGCCGGAGTACGAGGTGGCTCACGCCAAGCACATTTCACTGCTGGCACTGGAGATGATGGATCTTTCGCAGACAGTGACCGTTGATGGAGAGCCTGTGGTAAGTTTAAAAGTTTTTAGTCCACTTAAAATAATAAAAAATTGCAGAGCTTTTTAAACTATCGATCTGATTACGGTCAAGCAATTCATTTATAAGATTTAAGATATAAGAAAAGATCACACCTTACTTGTTATCAACACCGATAGAAAAAAAAGCAAAAGCAACTTCGACCACAGCAACGCGTGCAGATCGCCATCGCCGACTCGATCACGGCGCGATCATATAGGCCAATGACAGATCACGCGGACTGTCATGAGTCGCGGGACTGACGTGTGCTTGAAGCTTAACTAATTTGAACCCTGTACTAATCTAAAACTGCCTTGAAGTAAATAAATTGTCTCTTACAAATTACCTGGATTATATGTATTATGATGATATTATTTCATTCAGGGTATCACCATCGGCATTCACTCTGGTGAGGTGGTGACAGGTGTCATCGGCCACCGCATGCCTCGCTACTGCCTCTTCGGTAACACTGTCAACTTGACCAGCCGCTGCGAGACCACTGGCATCCCTGGGACTATCAATGTCAGCGAGGATACTTACAGGTGAGACTTTGTGATAATCAAAATACGCCTGCAACATGTATGCTCATCTGGTAAAAGTGTATCACAACACCGTGTTTATTGACATGGAAGTTTTTAGCGGCACCACATAGGTTGTTAAGTAATTTTGTGTGTCTTTCCGTATTTGCTTAGAACTGAAGTATCTAATTACATAGTTCCCATTAAGATACTAATAAAATAAAGTTCCCAGACGTTGTTCTGGACTGGCTAGACTGAAATTTAAAAAAATATGGGTGCCTGATATCAATATTACTACAATAAGACACCAAATAAAAACAAACTCTTTAATCATCAAACAAGTCCAAATATCTTTGCAATGACACAGGTATAGGTAATTTCGCGATACCAAAAGGTAGTTCAAAGTTCTTCCACAGCATTTCTCTTATAATACATCTGCACATGTGCTTCAACTCTACTGGTTTTAATCCACATCTGGAAGTAGGAACCAAATGATCCTCTAATATTTCTCCATACTTTTCCAAAGCTACTTTCCTTTGGTAATTATAGTCTTCGGGCAGTTCTAATTCTTTGAAAACGTTTCTATCTACCGTAAAATTCACTCTTGGCACTGCTCTTAAAGTGAGCTTAAGACACGTCACCAGTTCATACGGATATACTCTGTTGTACTCTTTGAGTCTATCTAAGATGGATTCTACAGGGTTAGTGGATACAGCTTCTGAAGAGATTCTAGCTCCAAATCTTAGGAGAATCATCAGCATTTCTGCAGCACCCATTTGGATGACTACCCTAACTGGGGATGCTTGGCCACAGCTTTCCAATGGGACGTCAATGAAGCGATATGTTTTGTCTCCCTCGTTGTATTCAAGGTTGGCATTTGTAGCGTGATCTAGGAAGTAGACTAGTGCATGAACGTTTTCTTCTTTATCCATGAAGTCTGACTTCCAACCAGCCAAAAAGTAAGGGGCAGATGTACCAAAGATGGCCCCTGAAAAAATACATAAAGGATTAAGAATTTAAATAATGTCGCAGTTGCTCTATTATCATTATTGTAAAATCATTATGGGAGAGGACTTTCTGTGGCTGAAAATTACAATGATGATGATGACGATAGTGAAGATGGTGATGGTCTATTATCTGTGATATTTTGCTTTAAGCAGAGAATCAAACACTTGAGTCATAATCATAAAAATATCAGTTATTTAAGCTAGCAGCAAGTTTGTTTCTTCGCTAGTCTGGGATTTTGCTAAGACTAATTTGGTTGGGACTAAAGTCATCGACCGACAAACAGCGCACCTAGCTATATACTGTTCCATGTTATGTAGATTTAATAAATGCTAATTTGCAACAAAACATTACAGTCTGGTGTGTAGTCAATCGACTACATTATTTACTTTGTACACTTACCCAAAAATATTCTCTCAAAGGTCTTCTCACAAGCGTACATCTCATCCAACAGAGCTGCCACCGTACCATTATCTTGTAAGCTCCAATCGAAGGCAAGTTTCATGGCTATGTACAGAACGTTATGGTATTTCCCCATGAGGCATACGTCTCCGTTGCTTGACTTGCAAGAATTGTGATATCGGAGAGCTGACTGCACGAAGTTCTTGCACGAAACTTCGTCGGATTTGTTTTGACCTGTAACAAGATAACCTCTTTAAGAAAGTATGCACACATTAGAAAATAATGTTATGAATATAAGTTTTTTCTTTATTTAACATTTTTAATGAACATGGAGACTAAGTATTTGAAAGACAAAAATAAGGAACATTTTGAACAAAATTTGAAAGCATCGATATCGGCTTTGATCTTTTGCCTTCTTTTGCCTTGAGTTATATCAAAGGAGTTTCAAAAACCTACTGTTTTTATTCTGATATACATAAAAACTAGAGACTACCTATTTAAACATTGAGATGATGAAGATTTAGAATGTAGAGAAACTGATATTATTTCAGGCTCTAAGCTATATTTAATCTTATTGTTTTGTTATATCTAAAGGAGATTTAAGTTTATAGTATTTATAGTACCATTGGTTTCTGCATACAAATTGTAAACAAATAACACGACGGTATCCTGATTTACAGTACCACTTTGTAGGCCTACTTAGCTCGTTTCTACTTATTTAGCATACTTGAGTTGCTTACAAAGGTGGGTGGTGTGGACAAGAATCTATAGCATTACCTTCATACACCCAAGTTTACGAACTGACTGGTAAAGTTTTCAACAGATATTAGTGAACAGTAATAATCCGTAAATGAGTAGCGAAAACCGAGTTCTTGTGGCGAGAACAAGGCAGGTATTTGACCGCAATGGCACCTGAGGGCTTAGTGTGAGTTTACTACATGAAACGTCCTCACTCACTATTGTTAAAAAAATATGAAAATTTTAGTTCTTGAGAGCACTATCCGTCATACATTTCATGTAATTTTTTTAGGCGCTCACTAGTGACAACGTTTCATGTAAACTCACACTAAGCCCTCTGGTGTTATTTGTTTAAAAGTATTAGATAAAGCCACCGTATGCTCTTGGGAAAGAACTTACTTACTGTAAGGCTGAGTTGCACCACCTTATTTTAACCGTGAATTTAATCATAACCGGTATTTTTACCAAAAACCTTTTATTTGTATGGAGTTTGACAGACTTTTGAAGTTTGTTAAAGTAAGAGTAAGATGGTGCAAATCAGTGGAAGTTACGTGTTAATAACAAAAAGATTTTCGTTAAGACTTTCGTTTTCAGTAAAAAAGTTGATTTCAATGGCCCGTACACTAAAATATTATTGAGATAAAGTGATATATTTTATCAACAATCGATGACGAAACATGCAATAACAAATAGATATAATAGACTTCTGATTACATAGTTACATTCCATTAGATATAACCAGATAAAAGAAGAGATAGCAATTAATATTAGTTACGGTTAAAATGATTCGCAACTTGAACCTTATCTGATCGTTTTGCAACGCTTTCTTTCTTTGTCGTTTAACTTCGATTAACAAAAGTGATTTTCCTTTTGTTTCTATTGATCTGGAAAAATTGCGGAGTTGTAATAGCTAAGTGGTTAAGTTAATGTTATCTAAGTTTTGTTTTGTTTTTGGCGACTGGAGCGCAATAGTATTTTTTATGAAGATGAAAAAATTGTTTATCTATTCTGCAGTGCGCTGATTTTTCTATTAGGTAATAACTAAGTCTAACAAATAAGTTCTTTTTTTATTAATAAAGCGTATGTGGAAGTAACTATGTATCTAAAATGATGCAAAAATGGTATGTCATCTGTATGGCTTTGTTGCACCATCTTACTTTAACTTTACAAAAGTAAAAAATTTGTCAAACTCCATACAAAACACACCGGTTATCGTCATAGTTACTGTTAAAGTTAGGTGGTGCAACCCAGCCTAAATATTATTAAAATTTTAATTCACTAATTTCAACTGTCAAAACGTATGAAAAAAGGGAGTCAGTTGTTTCCATAAAATGGCCCCACTTTTCTTTTTTCTTTTCTTTTATCTAGGCTGTATTAATCTTAGTATTACTCAAGCAACTTTAACCGACTTTAGAAAAAAATCCACTGTATGTAAGTATTTTGTCTTTGAATAGTCCATAAAAACTTTAAAAAATAACAACCTTTGGCACATCCAGCAATGACAGTATTGAAGTATTCGACTAGTTCTCTCCTCTTGAACCGCATGTTCAAGGAATCTCTGTCCATGGTGCTAAACACCTCTTCGAAGTAAAAATCCATAAACGAATCCATTTTTGGCACTAGAATTTATCTTTTACACATAAAACCAAAATATTTAAATGAGACACATCACTGTTGACGTTACGATTTTATTTTTGTTTTATTAGTGGCCAGTTATTTCCAAACGAATTTGAATTTTGACTTTTATTTTTATTTTCGAATGTTGCAATCCTTTTTGTTTGGATGTTTGTTTTAAAAAGTTTCCACTCTCTTTTGTTTTTGGAACGAAACGTTCAAAAAGTTTTAAGTACACTTTTGTTTATATTGAACACTGATTTAGATGTTTTATTTTATGTTGATAAATTATTTAGGGATGAATTTCATGTGTTCTTTTTCTAATTTCGTAAAATTGATTATGTTTAGTCACTTTTACACGTTACTAAGTAATCATACAACTAAATGTAAGTTTTTACTTTGAAATAAAAGTAACGCCTACTCAGTATGACAGACAAAACCGCAGTAATAGGAAATCACATGGTGCCTCACAGTTTTTTTCCTAGAAAACCCTGTAAGTGCATAATCTGCTTACATCGGTCGCGTTGGGAAGCCTTACTGTGCCAACTTGAACACATCCGTGGCACGTGGTTCCGTACAAATAAAAAATAGAGGAAATTATTCAACCTTATATGCCGTGTCTTGTATAGCAAGATATGGTTTTTAAAAACACTTCGATATAGGATTATAACACCTGGTTCAAACTGCGTTACGATACATTGTTAACTGACTTAGGAATTGAGATTGAAAAGAGTAAATTACTTTACTGATTAACAATCAATATTTGACAATCATATTAGATTTTTGAGTCTCCAACTGTATACCGAAGCCTAACTATTAAAAACCTATAGGTAGCCCCTATTAGACAAGCGAGGGAAAAAAATTACATTGTAAATGTACTAAAATTAATTTTGAAAGTAACTAGCTACAAATACTACTAAATCTCTGCTTAACTCAATTCAAATGAGAGTTTATGTTTGAACTAACTAGAACTAGCTGTGTCCGCGAGTTCGTACACGTAAAAATAGTTTGAATATTTTTTCACGTTTTCGCAGTATTTTTCATTGGTGCTCCGCTGCTATTGGTCATAGCGTGATGATATTTAGCCTATAACCTTCCTCGGTAAATGGACTATCCAAAACAGAAACAATTTTTCAAAAAGAACTAGTAGTTCCTACGATTAGCGCGTTCAAACAAACTTTTTTAACTTTTTAAAATTAGTATATTGTTTTACCTTACAGCTATTTGATGAGAGAAGATAACTTCGATGAGCAGTTCGAGCTGACCTACCGTGGCCACGTCTCCATGAAGGGCAAGGCTGAACCGATGCAGACCTGGTTCCTCACCAGAAAGAAGATCTAATCTTCCATGACCTGGATCAGAAGGGTCATCAGTATCAGGGACAATCTGGTGGAGTGGATTGAGGTTCTGAAAAGAATTGGTAGGACCGTTATGAAGAAGTAATTCGTTCTGTATGTGCTTTCTATGATAAACATAGAACTATGCATTTCGTGTAACAGTAGAGTAATTTGTTATAATACTATGTTCAACATAAACACTACGCAATTTAAAAGCATTATAACGATATGTATGCATTCATATATGGTACGATATTATTAATATTATTATACTTACAACATAAATATTATTATATTAATTATACAATGTAATTTCACAAATTCAATTGACCTTAATCAGTTTTAACAATAAGTAAAACAATATTTGATATCATAGAGTGGCATATACTGTAAAAAGTGAAGAAAATTATTATGATAAAAGATGGAAAAGTAATTAGAATATCAATTAATTAATCTACATTTGTTCTGTGTCTTATTAGTTGATGTGTTAGTAAGAATATAAATGTAGTAAAATTAAATGTTAGGAACCACATTATTAACTGTATTTCAACAAGGTTTAAGGTTTGATTTTGACTGTAACGACAGGCTGTAGTAAAATCAACCATTGCTTTCGTTGGTGTTAAAATCAATCCTTTTATACATATTAAAATCTAGTTGTAGTTGTAAATGTTTTCATGGCCTGTACAAATGACGGCATATAAACCTAAAGGTTGAAGAATTTTAAAACTTATTACCACGAAATAGGTGCGAATTTTCAAACAAATCAATAGTTTTATGTGCTTTATAAAAGAAACAAGGCCTAGCAAATATCAAAACGTATCTTTCTATAAACTGTTATTGAAAAATGATTTATTTACTCTCGTTACGTATGTTTTTGATATTTCTAAATATTTATCAACAATATCTAGTCAAGAATGGTATTACTTTAAGCTTTAACTATAGCTGCACTAAATGTATTTGAAGTCTTTTGAAGAATTATTTGTTATTGTGATAGTCAATAAAGTGTATATCAAAAGAAGAATAGTAATGTGATTTTTCAATCATCATCATCAGCTGGTAATTCAGTCTCCACTACAGGAGTACGACTCTCAAATTCCATCATTTCAACTACACGGCGTCCACTGCTGAAAATAGGCCTTCCCCAATGATATCTAAATTGGCCGATTGGCAGCAGCTTGAGTGCTTTTATTCTATTCGAAACCACCCGGGAATGTTTCGCTAAAGATAAATAACATAATTAATAAGCAGGCCTATTTACGAACATCTTCAATTCTCCCCATTACGTTTGGAGACATCAATAGTTCTATCCGTGCTGAGTTAAATATAAATGTAACGAATAAGAAGTTTATACGTTCCATCTTAAATCTTCAAGTGAGCAAGGAGGTCGTATAATAAAGCATCTAAGAATAGAGCCGTAGAGCGCTAGCCGTAAAATCTCGCAAGTCCATCTATTTCAATAACTAGTGGATCTGGTCTGCCAATCAGCTCTACTGGTTTATGGTCCAGTTATCGATACTCTGTGGTGTAAACACGAGGATACAGTTATACAAATTGACAAGTACAGTCAGAGCTATTTGGGTCTTGTAAATTGAGTACATGATATGTCTCTATATTATTTGAATTTGGATGTAAAGGTGGAATGGTTTTCAATAATATTTTTATAGCACGCTCCATCGCTCTTTGGGTGACCTTGAGCCTTCTTATGAGGCCCATAGTAAACGACCACGGAGTTTCCCTGCGTGATCGAATCAGAAATGAGGAGATCCGTAGGAGAACCAGAGTGACTGACATAGCCCGCAGAATCGCTAAAATCAAGTGGCAGTGGGCGGGGCACATAGCTCGAAGAGCTGATGGCCGCTGGGGCAGGAAAGTTCTTGAGTGGCGACCACGAGCTGGAAGACGTAGCGTGGGCAGGCCTCCCACTAGGTGGACCGACGATCTGGTGAAGGTCGCGGGAAGTACCTGGATGCAAGCGGCGCAGGACCGGTCTTTGTGGAAATCCTTGGGGGAGGCCTTTGTCCAGCAGTGGACGTCTTTCGGCTGAAACGAACGAACGAACGAATATTTTTATAAGGTAATTTGGATTCATTACATTTAGACCTCAAAGTTAGTTATTAGCTAGTATTCAATCTCTTGATTGTCAGATGCAGTAGCTTATGACCAACTCGACAAGCCACATAATTTTATTGGTCTTAGAAGCTTCACATACGTAATTAAAATAATATAGGCTAATTATCTATAGTACTACAGAGTTTAACCACCTCGTTCTCAACAAACAAAAGATGACATCACCAATATTATTTAAAAATAAAAAAAAAATAAAATAAAAAATGTATTTATTGCCTTCGAACCATTAGACATAGGTAGGTACAGGTAGTTAGACTTACAACTAATAAGTACACTGAAGGCAATTGGACCTGGCTCAGTATACGTTGTAAGTATTGTTGTATTTATTTTATCATCACAAAAATATTATTCAGTATCGTATCTCTTAACCAAAAAAAAATGCAATTATATAAGTCCACTAAGTAAATTTTGACGATATTAATAACACACTCTCACAGGTTCTACATTGGTTCACTGTTAACAACTTATTGTTAAATGCAAACAAAACTAAGTGCATTAAATTTACCTTACCTAATGTGAGGCAGGTTTCCACGCAATTAATGGTGAAGAATGAACCATTAAATAGCATAAATTCCACAACATTCCTGGGAATCACTTTAGATGCTAAACTTCAATGGGGTCCTCATATTGAAACTTTGTCAAAAAGGCTCAGTTCAGCTGCTTTTGCAGTGAGAAAGATAAGGCAATTAACTGACATTGAAACGGCAAGGCTAGTATATTTTAGCTATTTTCATAGTATAATGTCATACGGCATATTGTTGTGGGGCTCAGCCGCGGACATTGAAACTGTGTTTGTTCTGCAGAAGAGAGCAGTGCGGGCCATTTATAACCTTGGACCCCGATTTTCCTTGAAAGATTTTTTTAAGGAAATAAACATACTGACAGTAGCTTCACAGTTCATTTATGAAAACCTTTTATATGTCCGCAAAAATATAGATTTTTTTAAATGCCTATTATTTTTAAAATATGCCACATAGATTTTTTTTAATATTTTTCTGATAACCAGCACAACTTGCCTCAACACCCAGTTCCGGCTTGACGTTACATTACGGGACACCCTGTATAAGTCCACTCAAGATGAACCACCTATCCTACAAACCCATTTCAAATCATTCTTTCCGTCTCTTTCTCTACCACCAGTGTTTTATAGTGAAGGAAAGAGACAGACAGATTCGAAATCGTCAGCTGATGGAGATCGCGTGTTTCGACGCTACCTGCGCCTGGGCCGGATGGCAGAGGTCGCCAAACAGCATTCCATTGAGCGATTAATTATTTTTAGGCATTCGCTAATCTGGGCCTGTTACAGTCAGGTGTGGGTAAGCTTGTTAAATAATATTCATTATGTATGTTATGTGCCAGTGTGGCTGTATGTCCTGAAGCAGTTATTTAAAAGTCTAACTGTAAGAAGAAAATGACTTCAATTACTTTTATATTGTGTATGTAGTTTTTAATTCATCCTAGATTGCATCTCATTTAGACTGAGTTGCACCATCTTACTATAACTTTAACAAACGTCAAAAATCTGTCAAATTTTATACAAAAAGCACAGGTTACCGTCATAGTTACCGTTAAAGTTAGGTGGTGCAACTTAGCCTAAATATCAGATGTGATTACATTTAAATACCTGATTTTAAAAAATCGTCATAATTTCAGACAAACGATACAAGACGCTCACTGCTGAACATAGGCCTCCTCCAATGATTTGCAAATTGACCAGTTGGTAGCGGCTTGCATCCAGCGCCTTCCTACTCATGATTATGATACCAATTGTTTTGTGTAAAATAAATGCTGATAGCGAGAAAATAAACAAATATTCCACTGCAGGATCAACTTCTCTGTTTGGATGGCAAATTGAGGATTTCGCTGAGGCGCTATCAAACGTTTTGGGGAAGCAGTGGTAGGAAGCACGAATTATACATCTCATTAAATCAATTTGAAGCGGTCTGATCGCTAAAATCTATGTAAAAAGCTCGTTCAATTTAACTCCACTTCTTAACTTTAAGATTTAAACTGCCCCTCAAAACCGTTAAAATGTACACTCGTTTACTATGCCACCGCGTAATTTTTTTCAATAAATTTTGCATTTTTATTTCGCATTTACCAAACATGGACGCCGGCGTAAAATCGCTAATTGGTGGCCGCGCCTTAATATTAAGTATAATCGAAATAACAGGTGTTGGTTTTGACTAGAGTGAAAAGCGGTGGGCTCATTCCAGTTTGACCCTCAGTGATCTAGACAATAAGTCCTTAGAGATAGACATTCTCAATTAGGAGGTTCTGGGTTCGAATCCCAGATAGAGCATGCAATTTGAAATATTCTTAATTTGGTAAGGAACTATTAGCCTCTTTAAAGAAGACCATAAGATTTAAGGAAGAGCTAGGACCTGCAAAAGTCCAGGGCTTAAACTCACCAACCTAATGATTGTGTTCATACAACTGCTATTTATTAATGATTGTAATAAATAATAAATTATTGATACCTAATCCTACTGCATTTATGTAATACTGTGGCATTTAGGCATTGCAAAAAATAGTCCTTCTATGGCACAGTATTAACACATTCCAAAATACATTTTAGTATTACGCAATACAGTCCAATCTTCTTAACTACAACTTTGCATTTTGAAACCAGTTATAGGTAATGATCGTTTGAATTCAAAATATATAATCTACGTAATGATGAGACGAGGTGCTAAATTTTCCGTAGTAAATAAGACGTAATAATTTTAAACCAATGTTCCTTCGTTTGTTTTAGCCGAATGACGTCCACTGCTGGACAAAGCTCCCCTCCAAGGATGTCCATAACGGTCCTGCACCACCTCGCATGCAGGCACCAAAACAGTGTAATATTAACAAATATTTTAATATAACCACATCTGTGTAAGATCATCTATCTCAGTCCCAGAGGTCGCAAATTCGATTTCCAGAGGGGACAACATTTTTTTGCTCAGTTCTATGGGTGGTAGTAGAGCATATAAGCCAGCTTGGGTATCACCATCATACCTAAAGTCCATTACCATAGCAACGTAAGTAATATAGCCAATTTCTAAGGTTGAGCATTCCAGGTGAACCTTCGGCCTGATCATTACTTTTCATCAGTGCCAAGAGCTTTTTTTGGGAAAATTAGGCTTAGTCTATATTGTCCTATTAGAGTTTATTCATCTTAGGATGATGACATCATTATTAGTTCTTGCTAAGCTCCATCGCTTTGTCTTGCACCAAACCTCTACCAGGATAATGATGTAACTAAATATAGCAAATTAAGATCACGAAGATACTTTTGTTTCTTTTTCTGTTCGTATGTTTTTATTATGGTGCATTTTTTGCAAATTATTTGAGTTTTTTGCGACACTTTTAATGAGATCACAAGTTACATTGAAGACAAAAATCGACATAGAAATTTAAAAAAGTTTACTATATACTACATTTTAAATCTAAGTATGAAAATTTTATTTCACTTCTGTATAAAACAACAAAGTAAGTATAAAGTATTTATTAAAAGAACACCTCCATTTATATCTATTTCGTCCATGATTTAAAAGACATCAACGAGCTTCGACAGAGTTGTTAATAATAATCGCCAAAAATACTGCATAAAACATTATTAATAACAATTAATACAGAACACAGAGTTTAACGATACAATGCGTATTGTAATTTTTACAAATTTTTTTTAAATAAATTAATTAATTAAATTAGACATCTTTTTAAAAATTCTAAAATACAGTTATTTTAAAATATGACGTCAAGAAACATTTTTATCCCAAAAAAGGTCAGGCATTTATCGAATCAAAATAAAAGAAGAAATTGAAGCGAGACATTGCAAAAAACGACTCGTGCTTATGTCGTCGAAGGCGACCGAGGTGGTAATGCGTTTTCCGTGTCAAAAAATATTATACACCACTCAAAGTTGTAAACAAATTGACTTTTATCGATTTTGGGATTGAGTTCAAATTGGAATGTCAGGTAAACCGTTAAGCAAACGACGTGAATGGAACGGCGACATGTAGTCATTTATGAAACCACCTCAGTTCGCGCCGAGCGTCCGTTGCCGCCGCACGCATGCGCCGCCGCCTGTGATTGGCCGATTCAAACCGCGACCGTTGACGCCGACCAATCGGAATCGATCCGATCGATTTCTTTTTCTCGAGTTGACGCGCTGGTGTTTTGTGCCCTGTGTATGTGACATTGAAATTAGACTGTGTTGATTATAAGGTCGGATTTTTTTCTCACACTGGTAAGATTTTGTTTTAATTATTTTTAATGTGTCGTTTGTGACTTGTAACGGATGCTTAGATTCTCACGGCTATTGCTGACATTCCGTATTGCGGGTGTTATTGTAACTCGAATTGTTTTGAAAGGTATGCTTTGTAATTGCTCAAACTTCTTGCTAAACTGTTATTGTATTTATCGTGATTATATTTTGAACGTGTCTTGAAAGAAGTGAGTTGCTTAAATAAAATATTTTTATTACTTTTTCCACTCTGAAAATTTTTCAATTTATTTAACTTTTGTGTACTTATTGTTGTTTGGGAAATAATTACAGTAGCGAAATAACTTGTTGAGAATTCAGGACCTTATTATGCTTAAACAGTATTATTGTTCTGGTCACAATTGCTTGCAAACAAAACGTATAATTACTCAGTCAACTTCAAAGGGAAAATCCCATGAATAATAACAGAATGGAGTTCTAATTCATGAGATCGCGTAGTTATGGCAATTATCATCCATTAGACAACTGTTGTAAATCGTTTTATCCTAAGGCCATCTTCACAGATTCTTCATATGTATGCCATGAATTCCGTTTCACATGCCCTGTTATGGTGGAGTTGGAATGTCAAGGTATGGCTTTGAGTCAGGTGTACATAATACACCTAAAAAAAATATTTTACTTGTTACTATAATATTTTGTTTACAATAAACGGTCTGTACAGAAAACTAACGTAGATTTTTAAAATAGCTTGAAAAAATCGAACTGCCTAAGGTGGGAATCGAACCCACGACCTTTCGCTTGCCAGGCGACTGCTCTTCCATCTAATTAGATTCAAGTTATTTAAAAAAAATAGAATATCAGACAACCCAGAGAGAGATTCCATTCAACTTTGACTTTGTGGAAATTTTGACCAGGTCAAGTCATCCAGGCTTTACCGGTCATATGCAGAGATTTCAGACAACCATTCGAAAGGCATGGTGTCTCATCCTGATCAGTGCTTAGGCTTACGAGAGATTAAATAGCTTGTAAAACATACAGAACGAACCCGGATCTTAGAGTCCTGCTAAGAACTGATCTTGGACTTGATCCAAAAGCCTGGAATCTTTAAAAATCTCAATTGAACCAAGCCTTAATTACAAATTAGATGATTAATAATACAACCCAAAGGTTGTATGTCATATTATATGACAAATCCATCCATTCACTCTGACATCGTTGTCCATAGTTTAATGGAATCTCTTCTGTATAAAAATTTATTGAACCTTACTTGAGTTAAATTTCAACGTAGCTTTTGATTTAAATTTCAGCGAAGGCTGCAATATACGTTATTCCATACGAATTACAAAACTATCAGGGCATAATCAAAGAAGATTGGTACCATAACTGATCTCAAATCATACTTCAGGTGTGCTTTGGTTGATTTTTTGTCATAATTTCCATCCAGTACACAAGATTGATGCACTTTTTCATGCAACATCGTAAAATGGGGCATAAATAAAGCTACACAATCGGTACTATAATAATATAGCTATAATTTTCTCTTCATATTTCATTTTCTTAACATGAAAGTCTTCTTTGTTAATAAAATATACCTACATGATTTTTAACAAATTATTTACTAAAAATATACAAGATTTTAATTAATTATTTACTAATTGTTTTTGTGTTTTGATTGAAATCGCAAACGCTGATGTGTAAACCAGAAATTTGTAATTTAGAAATAATTAGTTCAATTAAAATAATATATAATGATTTGTTGATTGAACATGACTTTTAGGAATTCATTTTACAAAATAGCGAGTATGAGAAAATTTCAACATTTTATTGTTTAAAATTTTACGCATATTTTAGGTGTACTTTAATTTTATTGTCGAAATATTTGAGACATTTTATTGTAAAGATAATGAGATAACTTCTCACGTGAAAACTATTTCGGTTACAAACCATTTTTTGTAAAAAAATACTTATCGTTCTTAAAGACATTTTTTTTTTATTTTAACGCTCAGATCATAGATTAAAAAAGTCGATAAAAAACATAACTCTCCTTCTGGCGCAGTCTGGGTAAAAAGTAAGCATTTTCCTAAATTGAAATTAATAGCCTAAAAATTTAATAACAGATCTAAAGACGCTTTTATTCAATTAAAATCACATAAAGTATCTGTTATCTGCAAGATAAAATCTTATCACAAATCGTATATGCAGCGAACTATCACGTCCAGTTAAGAAAGAAATAAAAACATTTTTATCTTAACCATTATTCGAAAGGTTGACGTATATGACTTTCAATCTCTCGAACTATCTGAGACACGCGTGGGCTTTATCACGTTGTAATAGAGTCTAGTTTTGAATGATAATGTCATTATAAGAGTTGTAACATAGCAGGTGTGATGTGGTCGAATGGACAGACGACCTTACGCATTGTTGAGAATGTTATATTTCCTACTTGGGCGCGTGGGTTGTTTTTGGGTTAGCTAGTAAAAGTTTTTTCTTTGATATTTTGTAAGACTATTTTTAAATGTGCAAGAGAAATTCCGCCCTTTATCGTACGGTTACTGAAATGGTTATGAAATGCATTAAACCATTATACGTTTGAAGTAACCTGAAAGGACCACTCCTGCGATATATGGGATCGTAAAACTTATTGAATTATCATCTCGATTTAACTCTATCATTTGAACCCTAATTGTTTTCATCGTTCACTTAATGTGCCTTTTTTGGAATCGTCCCCAGAGCCTTTGAGTTGAGGAAAATAACCTCTTACCATCAGGCGTTAGTACACTGTTGTCATAATTATCCTCATGACGTTATCAAACTTAAAAAAAAGCTTTGAAAAAAAATGAAAATTATTTATTTGCAGAATGTGGTACCTACATTAGATGTTACATATTATGTGCTTTGTAATTTGTGCTTCGTAACATTGTCATTCCAAACTTTCTTCACAAAGGTAATTCAAAACTGTTTCACCATAATATAGGCCATCTAAGTGCATAAAGAAACCCAGTCTTCAAACTCTCATATGCATATTAACCTCATTTCAAACTATCTTGTGCGGTTGATATTAGCTTAGAGCTGTTGCAAGAAAGCAAGTCATTGTTTAGAAAAGTCAGAGTACATTAAATTGAAAATAACTGGCAACTAAGAATATGCAACTAGGGATATAAAAAAAAGGAAAACGGCCAAGAATATGCGACTTGGGATATAAAAAAAGATTTTTTTGAAAAAAGAACTGTAAAAATAGTTATGGACCTTGTTTGCATTTTTTTTGCTAGTTTGTGCGAAGTAACAGGATTTATTCTACGAAATGAAGCATTTTCTTCCTTGACTAGTTAATAAGTTAGTATAATAACTGGTACTCATAAAATTATGGTACTCATAAGTATATCATAAAGTTATGGTGTCCCACATGGAAGCAACATTATGTATTTCTTTATATTTTAACGCTTGTCATTTTCTTCTTAATTTCGTCGCAAGTATAATGACAGTAAAACTTTCCCTGGGACCGACTTAGCCATCATTTGTTGGTTTTTATTGGCAGTCAACCTGTAAATCTTGGTTATAGAAGCTGAGTAGGAACTAGAGATTAATTATCAAATCAAATCATTTATTTTGCGAAAATGGGTTTACATCAGTAGGTGTTACAACTTTTCAAGTAGGTATCTCCATCTTCCACCTTTAGGCATGCAAAATTACCCTTCTGACCCACCGCACCACCAAACCACTGTTAACAATTAAGTACTGTAGTATTTTGGTACTGTGGAGACTTAGATACATTCTAGATAATGAAGTAAATAGAGACATGATACCTTAAGTTTTGATAGAGATAATAATCTGTCAAACAAGTACCTAATCATAAACAAATTTTCGGTATTGCGTTTGGTACGCTTCAGCGCTGTATATTTCCTACTTTATACGATTTTAGGCTCGATTAGACTGATTATTTTACCACTTTTATGTTATTTAGTCACTTTTCCATTTCTGTAATATAAACGTCAGCTTAGTACAATGTTACGGTGTAATAGTCGCTCTATTTAGTGAAAGTGTAATCACTTCTTACTGCAATCTTACGTAATGATGTATAATTTGTTCTAGGAAAACACACTCAAAAGGTACAATTTTCCTAACTCCTTATTAGGGTTATGGATTGGTAACAAAATGTAAAATAAATGCTACTTATGTCACTTGGCTTGTTACGATGTTAGATGCCGTAATAATAGGAGATCCGGGTTCGATTTCCGATAAAAAAAACAGGAAAATAGCCTCGGTCGATAAAAAATATGCAATTTATTGACTCATCTCTCACCTTGATACATAGGTTAAGTTTAGGTTAGGTAGGTATTTAGGTTGCTTACATTATTGTAAGAATAAAAATAGATTTTAGCTATAGATCGCGCGACGAAAGTTGAGGCAAACACATACTCCTACTGATTTAATATTTGAAGAACTAAGACATCTGTGCAAGTGCTATGCAATTTATTGACTCATCTCTCACCTTGATACATTATTATTTAGGTTGCTTATTATTGCAAGATTTAAAATTGATTTTAAGTATATATCGCGCAACGAAAGTTAAGACAAACACTGATTATTCCACTGATTTAATATTTGAATTAAGAACTTCTTCTTGCCGTGTCGACAACAAATCTACACAGTGTTAGTGCAAAAGTCCCCTACAAGAGTAATAACAGTACAATAAGAACTAATACATCAGCGCCACTAGGGTATTAAATACAAATCTTTGCTTGTGTTTATGGCCTCAACACTTGCTGCACGACCTACACTTCCCTCAAAATTAATAATTAGGTAGGTACTACTGTGGTCAGTAATTCAAACTAGTTCCGTCTCCTTTTTGCGAGTGTTCCACTGATGATGTCAGTCATGAGCAGTCTGCCCATCATATCTTGTGGGAGTGTGATCTTTGGAAACATGAACGTGATATAATGCTTAATTCAATACAACATACATCTGTTTCCGCAATTTATTACACCGATCTTGTCGCGACAAGGAAAAATTTCCGTGCTTTTAAG